TCGCTCCCACCTGTGATGAGGGTCTGCCCCAAGGGAGGACCATGACAGGCTGGGGTGAGGCCATTCATCTTCCCCATGGGAGCTGGCCTCTGGGCCACAGCCGACCTGGAGCCTCATAGCTGCTGCTCCCATAGCTGCTCGTCTGGAACCACTCAAGCCTGAGCCCCGTGCAGCAGTACACAGAGCACCTGGCGGCTGTGAAGGCCATCGCCTGGTCCCCGCACCAGCATGGGCTGCTGGCGTCCGGTGGCGGCACGGCTGACCGCTGCATCCGCTTCTGGAACACACTCACGGGGCAACCGCTGCAGTGCATCGACACGGGCTCCCAGGTGTGCAACCTGGCCTGGTCCAAGCACGCCAATGAGCTGGTGAGTACAACGTGGGCTCAGGCATGTGGGAGCCCTGGGCCCAGTGGGCCTCCCCTGGAGTCCTGGGGTAAAGCTAGGCCCCTGCCACCCAGGTCACAGAACCTCAGTCTGGAAGTGTCCATTTGTGCCCACTGACCACCAGGAGAGGCTGATGGAGCTCAGGGTGCAGCGTGGCTCCCTGTCACCCTCCAGTCATCAACCAGAATGTGGGGGCGGTAGCCAGGCATGCCCAGGATGCAGAGCAGGCCCTGGTGTCCTTGCTCCTCGGTGGGTACCTCGGGGAGGCGACAGCTTACATCTGAGCCCTGGGGCTGTCGGAGGGGAGCCCCAGATTCCAAGAGCATCCTCTCCACCCCCCAGGTGAGCACGCACGGCTACTCGCAGAACCAGATCCTGGTCTGGAAGTACCCGTCCCTGACCCAGGTGGCCAAGCTGACCGGACACTCCTACCGGGTCCTGTACCTGGTGAGTCTGTGCTGGCAGGTCCTGGACCCAGCACCCGTGGCCCTGGGAGGGCAGGGTGCAGATCCAGACCGCAGCCTCCCACCTGGGCCTGTGGGGGCTTCACCCGGCCAGCTCCCGTGTCTGGCCTGAACAGCAGGGAGTGTTCATTCTGTTTTCAAATGTTGGTTGTGTTATCACTTTGAATGTACTTTTCTGAACTCCCCAGCCCTGTGAGGAAGGGAAGCTCTGCCCTCCCTAGAACCTCCACACACTTAACTTTACCAAAAAAATACATATATGTGTATATATGAAGAAACCTCAACTAACCCACATTCAACCACTCAGAAAATCTCTGAGGACAGTTCACCAGATACCCCTTTTCATGTGCCTAGGGACAGGGGTCCCACCCCAAAAGCACTCGGAGCTCTTCAAGCATTTTTGTTTCTTTCCAGAAAAAATGTTTTGTGCTTAAACCGTTGTATCCTTTGTTCTGAGTGCACAGAATAGACTGACCCTCATGGGTGGTGGTGGGACATCCTGTGTTTTTAGCTTTGGTGGGGACCCACCCTGCATCCTACTACCCGTCATCAGCTCCATCCATGTGGCTGACTGCCAGGCACAAGGACGACGGGGCTCTTTCTCCTACAGGCCATGTCCCCTGATGGAGAGGCCATCGTCACTGGTGCTGGAGATGAAACCCTGAGGTTCTGGAATGTCTTTAGCAAAACCCGTTCAACAAAGGTAAAGTGGGTCGGTATCAGCACCAAATGATCCCCGTGCGCATCCCCTCAGCCTGTCTTGGGGGTCATCCCCCACTGCTGCCTGAGCAGCCCCCTTTACCAAACTCTGCTGTGACTTCACCCTGGGACCCCCGCACACCTGCTCTGCTCCTACATCACTATGCACCCCAGCAAGGGCGCTCAGGGCGCCGCACCCCTGTGCATGTCAGGTCACTGGGGACAAAGTACCCACTCAGGTCCCTCCTCCAGCCCGAAGCCTCAGCTCCCCTCCCCACCATGGGCTCAGCAGTCCCTGTTGTGTGCCCTGCAGGAGTCCGTGTCTGTCCTCAACCTCTTCACCAGGATCCGGTAAACCTCGGGCAGCGCCATCCAGGGCAGAGGAGCACCACCTGTCGTCATGTGCATGGACCCTCCCTCCCAGCTCACATCCCCAGAAGCAGCAGCCGGGGTGGGCGGGGAGCCGGGCCTGGAGAGACCCTGAAGATTCTCATTAAAGCCTGATTGCGAACCCTGTCAGCGATGTTTGGGGCGGGGACGTGGTCGGGCAGCAACAGGCACAGGGGCTCCGGCTCCCTCCACACTAGCCCCGTGGCCCCAGCTCCGACTCTCTGCACTCTGAGTGGGATAGACCTCTCCCTGGACCCCCGCCTGCTTCCTTTTGTGTCCATCACTGCCTCGTTGGACTGCATGCTTTTCCCAGAAGCACGTGCTCGCCGTTATTGTCACCATCTGCGCCTGTGACAGGACACACAGCTGGACACTATGGCCCGTCAGCCAGGGGAGGTTCCAGCAGGAGGATGGTTCAGGTCAGCCCGTGGATCGAAGGGACACTCCTGCCTGATAGGTCCCTTTTCGGCCATCTCTGCTGTGCCAGCAGCCATCCTGGTGACTTTTCCAGGGGCCAGGTGTTGGTAACAGGCCCCAGGCAGGCTGTGCACCAGAGGAGGTCATCTTGAGATGGACTTGTGCAAGGAAAACTGAAGTTGGGTCCACTCGCTGTCACATGCTTACCCTGACCCTGCACTGTACTTGTCACAGTGTCACAGCCAAGCTCTGTCCCCAAGCGGGACTCTGGTTCTTGGGGCTTGCTGGGCCTACAGGTCCGAGTAGCCTAAGGGTGGTGCCTCACCCTCCTTCCTAGCCCCTTCCCCACCAGCCCAGCCCTGTGTCCTGTCCATCTGCATGTATGGCCATGGGGAAGCCAGGGAGGAGAGCGAGTGGAGGGATGTCCCCCTGGGTCACCCCAGTGGCTTCCTGAGCTTCCCCTGACCCTGGCCCTGAGCTACATCTGGACACCACCCCCTCTGGCCTCATCTCAAGACCTGGAGACATCAGAGAGGGAGGTGGGCCCAGGTGTGGCCAGGGTCCCAAGCAGCCCCCCCTCCCCACTCAGAACAGAGGTCAGTGACAGGAAGTTGCCTGGGCAGAGCAGGCCTCTGTGGAATGGAGGGTCACCTCAGTTCTGCTCAAAGGCCCCACTCCTCCAGGGTCCCCCCACAATCAGCCTCATGTATGCACGTGTATATATGTATTTGTGACTTTTATTTGAGTTTGTTTTGTGTTTTTGTAGATGGGTCCCAGAAATGTTTGAAGCTAGCTGGGGAGGGGCACAGCCCACCCACTGTGCCTGGGGAGACGGGTCATAGCTTTTGACTCCCTCATTTGAGAGGGGTGATCAGCTGAACCTGCTTGGACTTGGGGAAGGGTGGGACCCTGCATCCCCATCTCCATCCCAACATCCATCTGCCGCAGACAGGCTAGGATGTGCACATAGACATATGTATTTTGATTGGCCGAGATCTTATTTTTGTTTTGAGTTTTTAATAAGAAAATGATCCATTTCACTGCACCCTCACCCTATGCGGCCGCCAAAGAACCTAGGAGCTGGCTCGGCGTGTGGGACCCACACCAGGGAGTGTGACAACAGAAGGGGTGCAAAATGTGTGCTCCCCGCCTGCGAGTCTGGTGGGCTGGGTGCAGGGAGGGCACCCGGTGCAGAGCCAGCTTTGTTTCTCGTGCAACACAATGTCATTGTCATTAAACCAGCTATGGGTTCGTGCACGGCTAGGACTGGCTGTCCATCTGTCTGTCTGGTCCCTGGCTGGGGTGGCTGACTACTCAAGTCTGTACACTCCTGGGGCCCCAGACCAGCCTGAATGTCACAAACAGGTGGTGAGCAGCCCGCCCCAGGTGAGCTGCCTGAGGGACGCCAGTGTCCCTGAATTCATAGTCTGGTGGGGGTGAGGATGATGTGCATCATGGCAGTCCTTGAGGCCCAGCTGGGGAAGAGGTGTCCATAGGGCCAGGGAGGTGGGGGCAGGGAAGAGGCGGCCTGTTGGCAGCTGCAGCTCTCAGGGCAGGCGCTGCTATCACCTCCATCTGACCGATGGGGTGACCGAGGCCAGCAGCGGGAGCATCGCTGCGCAGTGCCTGCACTGGGCGAGGTTAAAGAGCTGGGTAGGGTGAAGCAAGGTCCGTCGGGTTTCTGTTGATCGTCAAATGTAGCTTTTATGGCAAAGGGGAAAGAAAGTCAGTGAAGGGTGAGGCAGCAGCCAGTACAGCAGTGAGGCTGGAAAAGCCTAGGGGACCTTGCAGCTGCCTACGACTGGTGGAGCACCCCAGGCCCTTCCCTCCAGCTGAAGATCCCCGGCCTGGGCACTTGGGACAACAAAACAGACCAGATCTCAAAACCAGCTCTCATGGGGCTTCTGTTTAACGGTATGTGAGAAGGACGTGCGTGCTATGTCACGGGTAGGAGGCTTTGGGAAAGGACAGCTTTTAATCAGGGCTTGCCGCAAACCCAACATTTGAGCAAGGGCCCGAAGAAAAGTAGGAGACACCTAGGCAGAGGACTTGACAGGCAGCAGGCACTGTCGGTGCAAGGCCCTGGGGCAGGACCAGGCTTGGCATTTTGGAGGAACAACAAGGAGGCCTGTGTGGCTGGAGCAGTAAGCGAGGAGGGGAGAGGGAGGAGGGGAGCCAGGGAGGGGACAGAGGCAGATCGTGCAGGGCCTTGTGGGTCACAGGGTGGACTTGGGCTTCTATCCCGAGGGAGGTAGGTGTCCTGGTGTGTGCTGAATTGAGAGAAGGGACAAGATTGCTGTATAGAGACCTGACCGGTGCAGAGGCCACAGAGGAGGGTCTGCCAGGCAGGTGATGATGTGACTTTGGCCAGGACCAGGTGGAGGTGGTGAAAGTTGGACAAATTCTGTATTATTTTTTAAAATTGTGGTAAAATATGCCTGACATTTTACCATCTTAAAGTGAATAATTCAGTGGCGTTTGGTACATTCACAGTGTTGTGCAACCACCACCCATGTGTAATTCCAAAACATTTCCATCACCCCAAAAAGAAACCATCCCCATTAGTTGTCACCCCCAGCCCCTGGCAACCACGATCCCACGTTCTGTCTAGAGATATGCCTGTTCTGGACATTTCACATAAATGGAATCACACACTGTATGGCCTTGTGTCTGGCTTCTCGCATGAGCACGTGTTCAAGGTTCATCCATTTTGTAGCGAGTGTCGGTGCATCACTCGTTTTCATGAAAATAATCCATTGTGTGGATGGGCCCCATTTATTCAATTGATGGGCACTCAGGTTGTTTTCCACCTTCTGATAATTGTGAATCATGCTGCTTTGTGAACATCCCGTGTGCAGGTTTTTGCTCTGATGTATATTGTAAACAGATTGAGGACTGAATGGGGTGGGGTGAGAAGGGGAAGTTTTGGGGACGTGGGAGGGTTCCAGCCTGAGCACCTGGAAAGGTGGAGCTGAGGATGCAGGGATGAAATTCAGAAGCTTGGTTTGGCACAGAGACCCTGAAGAGGGGATGTGGGAAGGGGGCCAGAGATGCGGTGGTGGGATCCCTAAGCCCTGAGCCACCAGGCACGGCACTACTTCCTTCAGCCCCTCCACTGGGGCGGGAGGGAATGGTCTAGACAGGGACCAGGGCCACCAGCACTGTTGCCAGGACACCACAGGATGGCCTTTGTTGCTGTCAACAATGGCCCCACAAGCCTAGGCAGGAGCACCCAGGAACCCAGAGGCAGACATGCAGACCCTGAGGCGAGAGGCTGCCCGGCTCCATGTCCCCCAGGGGACCCTCGAAGTGGACTTCCCGGCACCTCATTACAGGTGAGTGCCCACCCTGCCCCAGCACAGCCTCTGGTTCTTGGGTGTGATTGGATTTGGTTTGGCTTCTCCTGAGTGTCACTAATTCTTCATAAAAGGCACATTGGTGCTGCACCCTCCCCTAGCTGCTCCCTACATCTCCCCACCCACCTGCACCTGGGTACCTTCCTCCCCGCCAGTGGTCAGAGCAGGGCAGGCTTGGAAACTGGCAGGGGTGTGTGCAGGTCACACATGCTCGCTCACTGTGTGCACAACACGTACGCCCACACAGCAAACAGAAAGTAGGTATCTATGGGATGACCGGTTAGCTCAGTTGGTTAGAGCATGGTGCTGGTAACACCAAGGTTGCAGGTTTGATTCCCGCATGGGCCACTGTGAGCTGTGCCCTCCTTAAGAATCAACTATGCCATTGTAGCATGAAAGCAATGTGTAACCAATGACCATGGCTGCTACCCAATAAAAATAAAAAATTTTTAAAAAAGGTAAAAATATTTTTAAAGTAGGTAGGTATCTCTAGGAGTTTCCTGGGACTGCTGTAACAAAACACAGACTAGGTAGCTTAAACACCAGAGATTTATTCTCTCCCAGTTCTAGAGGCCATAAGTCCAAGATCAAGGTGTCAGCAGGGCTGGTTCCTTCTGAGGCTGTGAGGGAGAAGCTGTTCCATGTTCTCCTAGCTTCTGGTGGTTTACTGGCAGCCCTTGGCATCTCTGGGCTTGTAGGCACACCACCCCATCTGTGCCTCCATCATCACATGAACTTGTGTGTCTGTCCAGATCCCCCTCTTCTTAACAAAGACACTAGGGCCCACTCTAACCCACCACGACCTCATCTTGACGAATTCTATCTGTTACAACCCTGTTTTCAAATAAGGTCACGTTCCTGAGGTTCCAGCTGGACGTGAATTTGGGGGACACTCAACCCAGTAGAGTATCCATTAATAAGTGACTGTTTCAGTAAGTTACAATGATTATTCTGCAGCTGTAAAAATAAACACAGATGAGTGGGCACACTTTGTGCCACTCCATTTCCAAGAAAATAAAAAATGATGTGAAACTGCAGCAGGTTCCCACATTTCTGTACTAGAAGGGCCACACCCACACACCGCCCACTTGTGGAGGAAGGCAGTTCTTAAGAAATTAGAGCGGCAGCCCAGGTCCAGGCTGGGGAAAGTGGACAATCACATTTCATTGCATGTTACTTTAGAGTGTGGAGCACCATAGGTGATCTTGAAATGTCTCTTTGGGTGACAAACCCGGTCTACATCAGGTTCCTGAGGCTGATGTTCTAGAACCGACCGGGCTCATCCCACCTTTTATGAGACATGTGCATTTCTAGTTTTGATGCTCTGATCAGATCTACTGGAGTAAAAACTCTGAACTGGGCTCTGCGCACAGCAGTGATGAAAGCGTTTTGTCAGTGACCTCCTGGGGCCATCTTGGGGTAACCAACATCATTCTTCAGGTGATTTCCCAGAATCGAGCCCACCAGGTTAAAGCACTTGCACGTCTTTGTCTCTGGGGCAGTGGTGCTACTAGCATGTGTTCTGGAAGGAATTACCATTTGAGGTTTCTGCTTAAGAAAATTTCCCTGCAGCTTCACCAGCTTCGGGGTTTTTCACTTTTCCTTAATTTTAGTTTTAATGGTACCTCACTGAGGTTTGATTTTTGCCATTAATAGCATATTTCCACTAATCTCTCTGCACTGCAGCCTCTCTGCTCCTTAAACTGCTCTCCGCTGCCTTGGGGCCTTTGCACATGTCACTCCATCCACCTGAAATGGGCCACCTCCTCCTCTGAGAAACCCTCCTGGTGCTCTCAGCTTAGGACAGGCTCTGGCATCAGGGGCCCTCTGGAACAGGCACAAATGTGTAGCTACATAGCTTATCAAAGTATGAGCTTGTCTTCACTCTCAGCAGGTCCCTGGTGACTGGGTAGATGATGATGACATAACGATTCCCTGAGGGTCTTCCCAGGAGTCCAGGCACCCCTACACGCTCTCCCTGGGCCACTCACTCAGCCAAGACCACTTCCTCCTAGTGTGCCTCCAGGCCAGGGGGCCTGTGGGTCTGGGAGGCTGGACAAGGACTTAGGACCCCAAGAGGGGCCAGAGCTTTTGTACCCTCCTTCCTGGTGTCCCTGGGGAGGATGTGGCAGAAAGCAGGGAGCCTCCCTCTCCTCTGCCAGCCTGGGCAGGGGTGTCCAGTGCTGAAGGACACATGGCCAGGTGGAGATGGAAAAAGAAGGCCCCGCAGCAGGGCCAGGCCTTTGCACCCTTGATGCCACATGTGGCAGAGGGTAAAAGGCCTATTCTAGAGACAAGCAAGATGTGGAGGCCCAGGGAGAGGCAGGAGACAGCCGCAGGCTCAGACTCTATGCCCTTCCCGGCCCTTAGTGATGACTTCCTATCCCTGGAGGGGCCCCACTGGACGCCGGCCATCAAGCAGGCAACGCGCTGGAAGTACACGCCCATGGGACAACACGCGGCCAGCCAGCCGTGGTACACTGGCCTAACCAACTCAGACTCCCACAAAGCCTGGCACACGCTCCCACAGGCCCTGGACAACCCCTACTGTGAGGCTTACTCCCACTGGCACAGATGCTACAGCCACCGGGAGCGAGGCATGTCCTCGGGTGAGTGCCTGGCCTGCCTGCCCTGACCCAGGTCAGCCCCAGGGGGAGGGCGAGGGCCAGAGATGACCTGCCCCCCCATCACTCTCCCTACAGCCTATATCCAGCACCTTCGGGAGACCGCCTGGTACGACCCCATCATGCCCGTCCAGTACAAGGCCCCTAACACGCGATGGGGGGCCATGCTGTGGAAAGACAGACCTATTTGGGGCAAGGAATATGGTGAGGCCCGGGTCACGGAGGCCAAGGGCTGGGGCGGGAACAAGGCCACCTAGGCCGGGGGTGAAACTGCCTGGGACCAGGAGGTGACCTGAGTTCTGCCCCACAGTGGTCAACAGGCACCAATACGGGGTGGAGCCATTGGGGCAGGTTTCCAACCACGTGCCCTACCTGTCGGCACAGCAGCGTCCACGCTACACAGCCCAGAACTACCGGCAGTGGGACCTGGAACCCTACTGCCCATCCACTGGCCAGTGGCCCCCACCTGTCTACACTCCCACTCTCTGATAAAGACCATCCCTCTGCAGGGACGCTGCGCCTCTCCCTGGGCTTCTGTCCACATCTGGGGACCAGGGCATTGGGCAGTCAGGTAAAGGGAGTTAGTTACTAGCCAAGTCCCCAGGCAGACAGCTGAGGCCAGTCCTTACCGTGAACAGCTCTTTATTTACTGTCAACAGCGTCCTGGGTACAGGGAGCTGGACATGGAGCTGGGTACAGGCTGGGGCTCCAGAAAGGCTAAGTGACGATGCCATCCTTGGGGGGCCTGGCAGCACCCAGGAGATCCCAGCCAGGCCAGGGGTACGAAGTGGAGCTCAGTGCAGCCCCAGGACCTTCACGTCCTGCCCTCACGCAACACACAGAGGGCACCCTGAGTCATCCATTAGAGTTAGACTTGGGCACCCCCAAACCCACGGGCCCCTGGATACCAGAAGACCTAGCTAGTTGTCTCACCCCAGCTGAGGTCCTGCCCTCACCCAGTGACCCCACAGCCAGTCAAGGAAGGAGAGGTGGAGACGGGACGAGCAGGGCATGGAATGTGCACAGTTGCAGCTCATTTTCATAGGACAGGAGGCCATGGGGAAATGTCAGGGCTGGGCTCCAGGAGCCCCTGTAAGAGAGGGGTGCTGTTAGTGAGCATGGGGCCTTCCCCTGCCCCAGGCCGCCCACTCATGGCCAGGTTGGGGGTTTGGGGATGGAGGGGGTATACAACTCACAGCTCCGCAGGCGGAGGGGCCAGATGAGAAGACTGCACAGAGACAGGGTGGCAGCCATGCCCACGCCACCTGTGACGGCCACCATCACCCAGTGGTAGAAGCCTACGCAGGCCCTGCAGCAGAGCTCCGATCTGGGGTAGAGGGAGGACAGCGCAGGTGAGCGGACACTTGTGGGTACCCTCCAGCCTGGACTTCCCATCCTCCCACCTCAGCCAGTTGTCAGGCCAGAACCTGGGGGTCACCCTCGACCCTCTATTCTCCTCCCACATCTGATACTTCAGCCAATACTGCTGGCTCTGCCTTCAAAGTCTATCCCAAATCTGCCCACTGCCACCGCCCATAGTCACCCACCTGGACCAATGCAGACAACTTTTGCTCTGGTCCCCAGGTTCCAGCCCTCACCTTCCACAGACTGTCCTCCCCGCAGCAGGGACCAGAGAGCACCTGTGAGCACCTGAGTCAGGCCCCACCACTCCTCTGCCATCTCCCTCTCAGTGAAAGCCCAAGACCTCCACAGGACCCTGCATGACCTGTCCCCATCCCCTCCCTGCCTCCCCCTCACTCTGCTCCAGCCACACAGCCCTCCTCACTGTCCAAGTCAGGCCTGGGCCTGTCCCAGGGCCTTCGCCCTGGCTGTTCTCCCCATTTGCTTAGAATGCCCTGATTTCCAGTGGGTCTCAGGACCATGTCACCTCCTCAAGGAAATCCTTCTTGACCTCCTGCCCCAATCAGGCCTCCATATGTGGTGTCCTTCACAACACTCGTCCGGACCACACGTTTATTTGTTTGGTTAACATGATTGGTGTTGCCACCAGCTCCATGAGGCCAGCTCTGGTTTCCAGATCCTGTGCTTCTACAAGGTGAGAACTCGGTGGTCTAGAACCATCGGTTCTAGAACCCTAGGTTCTGAGTGTCTGAGTGACACAGATTCTGGCTCCCCCCTAGTCCTGCCCACTCACATCCAATACTTCTGTATGCTGTGTCCTCAGCACCCACATACAACAGACTCAGGGTTTGTTGAATAAATAAAGTGCCCGAGCTCAGAAAGGACCAGGTCTCCCCAGCCTGTGAACCCCACCAGGGTGGATCTTGTCCACGCCAAATCCCCTGACCTGGAGCAGTGCCGGGCACACAGCACACTCGGTACACTCTTGTTAAATGACTGAATGAGTCCCACTCACGTGCAAGGGTGCAGACTCTGGATGACCATGACTGCCAGCCCATTGGCCACCTTATCCGAGAAGCTCATGGCACCGTACACAAAGGCTCCACTATGCTGGGGAGACACAGGCAGGGAGGTAAGCACCCCTGGCCTGGGCCATGGGCCCCACCACCACCGACCTGGCCCTGCCCGCCAGCCCTACCGTGTGGGGACCAATGAGGTCAGCTGTCATGGCCAGCGAGGTGACGAGGATGGTGGCACAGCCCATGCCTAGCAGCATGGCTGCTGCATACACAGCCACACCCAACTCATCTGCCAGAGCCACCCAGGCTGCGAAGGCCAGGATAACCAGGAGGCCCACGAAGTAGGTCATCTGCGAAAGGGACCAGCCTCAGGCCTGCCTCACTGGTGCTTGCCCTCTCTGGTCTTCAATCCACCGGCCCCCTAGCCCCAACCCCAGAGAGTGAGGGGGTCAAGTGGACTGTCCCTAAGGAGCCCCCAGCTCTGACCTCACCAGAGAGCTGAGAGTATGGAGACAGGTGGCTTTACATCTAAGTGCAAATCAAGTAAAATTAGATAAAATGGAGCATTCAGTTCCTCAGTCACACCAGCCACATTTCAGGTACTCATAGCCATCCTGGCTAGCATACCGGTCAGAAAGTTCCAGAGCTCTAGAGCCCCAAGAGACTCAGAAGCCAGGGTCTAGAACTCGGGTCCCAGACATGAGGTGTCTACAAGGTGTGAATGCTGTGGTCTGGAATCACCCAGGCTGCATGTATCCAAGTTCCAAGGGTCCTCGTCTGGCATCTCCCCACTGCCCCCAACGGCCTGCACACTCACATTCCTTCCAATCCACTTGTTGACCGGCTTCATGAGGAAGGAGGAGACGAAACCACTGAGGTACATCACCAGCGGGATGGTGGCGATGAACTTCTGTCAGGGCAGAGTGGGCACGGGTGTGTCAGGTGGGGCTCCTTGGGCTTGGGGCCCAGGGCTCTGGCCTACCCTGCCCAGCTCACCTTGGGCAGATTGAGGGAGTAGGTAAGGTACATGGCCATGTACGTCTGGGACAAGTTCACAATGAGCCTTGTGCTCATGTATAGCAAGCCCACCTGTGGGCAGACAGAGGGTTCAGAGGTCAGACAGGGCCCTTCTCCACTCCCATCAGCAGCGAGTGCCAGGAGCCTAGCTGCAGCTGGCACCTGATCTACTAGTAGTGACTGCCTAGCGGGTCAGGCAGAGAAGAGAGCAGTGATTTATTAGCAATGTCTGCCCTGGGTGGGAATAGCCAATCGAATGTTTGCTCCAATTTTGGCTATCCCTAGGGGCCTAAAGCCCCGCACAGTAAGGGCCTAGGGGAGAGCGGTATCCACTCCAGCCCACTCTGCTCCCCACAACATACCTGGTAAAAGGCTGGCTCCCGAAGCCAGTGTTTCCAGAGCAGCAAGGGCCGGGCAGTGGCGGGGGCCAACAGGGGGCTGTGTTCGTCTGGCTCCTCCACCTGTCAGCCCTCCCTGGTGCCCAGGTGGAACAGCAGTGAGAAGACAGCTCCAATGCCCACCACTAACAGGGAGAGGTTCTGGGGACCGGGTAGGAAAGGGTTCAGCAGTAGCTCTCACGGCCCAAGACCCGCGTTCAGGACCTGGGGGGTTGTCATCTTTGGCCAGGAGCGGCATTGCCCCCCACCCCCACTCCGGCCCCAGCTCACCCGAAACACTGGCACATCTTGGACCCCCAGCTGGTCACTGACATCCTGGATGGACCCTATGTGTGGAGAGGCCTGCATGTGGAACAGGAGCCAGGCGGCGCCATAGACGGTGATGTTCGCCATCACCGTGAAGGCGTACCTGGCGGGGGCAGGGAAGGCCTCAACATGGCAGCCCAGGAAACCACACAACCACTTCTTCCCCAGGCAGCTGCACAGTCAGAGCTGCTTGTAGCATCTGGGGAACCTCGCCAATGGGTTATTTCAGCCACCAAACCTTGGGTGGCCCCAAGGAAGCCCCTGCTGGCCTCAGTTACCCCAGTTTGCATGTTTTACAACTCTGACCCATGACCACTATGATGGGGGAGGGGCTGGGGTTCAGAGCAGGGCCCAGTCAGAGCTGCAACCCAAATCTGAAAACCTGAGATGCTCAGAAGCCAGGATTCTGGAATTTTTGGTACCCTGATCCTCGGCTTCAACAGGGCAAGGGCTCCATCTAGAATCATCTGGGTCTGCTCCTGCCTGCAGCCCTGGAGCAATGTCCCTCCAGGGGCTGGGTGGGCAGGGGAGGGGGAGCCTCTGGGTCTCACCAGGACTCAGTTTCCCTTTATGAAAGCAAGAACAAGACTATCCCCAGAGGTCACAGTGAAGATGACACGAGGATGGCAATAAAGCACTTGTAGGTAGACAGTACCCCAGAACGTGGGCATGGCCCGGCCCAGCCTGTCCCCTTGGAGACCCGGGCATTGAGCAACCCCTGTCGTTAGTGTCTGTAGCACTTGTCCATAATGAGGAACTCAAAGGCAGGGGTGGGGAGGAAGCCAGACTGGGGAAAAACAGGCTGAGTTGGAGACAGACGGGGCCCTCAACAAAGAGGCTATCCTAACAAGAGTAACACACACCAAGCACCAACTGTGAGCCAGGCCTTTCTCTGTTCTCCAGCCATACCGGCCACCCTCACATGTGCTGTCCCTTCTGGCTGGAACTGTCATCTGTACCTTTTTCCTACTGCACACGTCCCATAGGCGCCTTGCTCTGGCCTTGGGCACAGGACAGCCTGGGCTTGCCATGAGGATTAAAGAAGATAATTCACATGAAGGGCCTAGAACTGTGTCTGGCATACAGCAAGCACTCCATAAATGCTCCTATGATCATCAAATCCAGAATAACCTCCTTTAGCATCTCAAGCAAGTGAACAAATAAACCGGTCACCAACTATATCCACGTGCAGCAGGAAAAATACTAAGATGGCCCCAGAGATTCTCCAGCCCTGGTCCTGCCCTGTCTAACCCCTTCCCCTTGGAGATGGAACCTATGAATATGATGGGATGCCACACCCATGTGTAGGTAACTTTCTGTGGCACAGATGAAGGGATTCTGTGAATGTAATTAAAGATTATCCTGGGTGGGGCTGACCTAATCAGGCGATTCTTATTAGAAAAAGGGCTTAAGCCGTCCCTGAGCTCTGACTCTCCTGCACGGGTCTCAAAGCATCAGCAAGCCACCATGAGCTTTATATCTGCAAGAAAATTAATTCTGCCACCAACTACCTGAGCAGGGAAGAGGGACCCCAAGCCTCAGATGACACATCAGCCCTAGACGACGCCTTGATTGACGCCTCAAGACAGACATTGAAGCAGAAAATCAGCTAAGCCGAGACAGACTCTTACACAGAAACCATGACATGTTAAACGCGTGCTGTTTGAACCTGCTTGATGGTCATTTGTTATGCAAGCAGCAGCAGCTGACTGATACACTGTTCCAGATGTACAAGCTGCTGCTGAAAGTCCCAGAGCCACAAAGCCAGGCAGAGCCCACACAAACAGGGTGGCCCTGGCTCCCCGGCTTCGCCTGCTCTGCGTGTGCCCCCCACCCTGCCCTGCTGAAGTGATACCTGAGAGCTGTAAGCTCCACCTTCTCGTGGTCATTGGTGACAAGCTCGGGGATGAGGCTGAGGTGGGCAATCTGCATAGCAGCCCAGCCAAACTGGAAGATGACAATGAAGGGCCCATAGTAGAGGAGGGCGACCCACTCGGGCGTGGTCTCCCCGCAGCCCAGGCATGGACTGAAGATGAAGGGGAAGGAGAGCAGGACGCAGAAGGTGCCTGTGGACGGGCAGAGTGGGGAGGGGGGGTCACATCACTGGGCCTTCCCACAGTGGCCCAGGGCTCCCTGGGGTGTGACCAGGTGGAGACCAAATACACAGAAAAGGCTAAAGACCCTCCCAAAGTCACACAGTGGGGTGTGTGGGATCAGCAGCCCAGGGCACCTCAGGCTTATGGTCGTGACAAATGGGGAAACTGAGGCAGAGATCTGCGGTCCCCCAGAGGTCACACAGCAGATTGAGAGGGCGCTGTGGGGAGCTGTAAAGAACTGCCCACCATTTACACCCACAACTTGCCCTTCCTGCCTCACCCAAGAAATGGACCTTTTCCACCTATCAAGGGTCCTGTGGGGCCACCAGGAGTCAGGAGACCAAGTGATGCTGGACTTTGCCCTCCCTGAGCCTCAGTGTCCCAGTCAGCCCAGAAGAGGATCTCTCCCTGGAAAACATTCCAGTAGCTCAGAACAAGCCCAAGTCTTCCCCACAGCGCACAAGCCCTGCATGACCTGCCTGGTCCCCTCCCCTGACTTCACCTCCCTCTCCCCCCGCTCACTCTGCTCCAGCCACACAGGTCTCCTTGCTGTTCCTCCAATACACCAACCCTAGAAGAGGGATCTTGGTATATGCTGTGCCCTCTGCCTGAAATGCTCTTCCCCTAACATCTTAGCAAGGCTGGCTCCTTTTCATCCCTCAGGACTCAACTCAAATGCTACCTCCTCACAGAAGTCCTTCCTGACCAGCTCTGTCACCAGCAGTTCCCTCCCTACCCCAACACACTCTATCTGGACCTTGCTTTCTTTTCTTCACATCCCTCAGCACACGCAGGCTTTTTTTTTTTTTTTAAGATTTTATTGGGTAATTGGGGGAGAGGAACAGACAAGTTGCTGTCCTTTTGTTCTTCAGTCTAGTTGTGGAAGACATCACTTCACTGGCCCATGTTGGTATTATCATTGCGCTCTTCCCAGGTGAGGTGGATGGGTCGCCGGCCATTGGACGGCCGCTCACGGCTGGCTGCCGGCTACACACGGTAGCCCATGGCAACCCACTGCAGCGGGGGCTGCAGCCTACGCCGTCGCCGGCGACTCACGGCAGCCCAGCTCCAAGTTGAGCTGTTGTGCAGCATCTTAGCTGTAGAGGGCAGTGTCACTGGCCCTCATATGTGGGATCCGAACCGGGGCCCTCTGGCGTCCCAAGCCAGTTCTTAACCATCGTGCCACTCGGCCGGCCCACCGCAGGAATTCTTTTGTCTGTCTGTCTGCTTGTTTCCTGCCTGCCTCCCCCACCAGACTGTGGGCTCTGTGGGGGTGGGTACCTGATCTCTCTAAGTCACTTCTGTGTCCCTGGAACCCAGCACAGAGCCTGGCACATCAATATCTTTTGAATGAGTGAATAATAATGCCTCTATTTACAGTCCAAAGCAAAGGGGTGGATATTATTGATGTTATTATCATCCCCATTTTTCAGATGAGGAAACTGAGGTCCATTGAGTGAGCCACAGAGCTGAGATTCCAGCTGGACTCTGAGTCTTGCTCCTTCCCGCCAGCCCTGCAGCCTTCTCCCATCCCTGCACCTGGAAGGAGACTGGCAGCTGGACTTCCCTCCTCCCCCAGTTTCAGGATGTGACCTCATCCCCAGACTCTGGGCCTAACCAGCAGTCCTGGGATCAGGAAATGAAAACAAAACCAGCCTGGCTCTTTCTCTGGAACTGGGAGGAGCATCCTGGACAGATACCTGGGGACCTTGAAGCCACCCTGGGGTCAGGGACCACCTGCAGATTCTGGTCAGAAGAATGTGCTGCCCTGGATGGACTCCACCCTGCTGCTGCCCAGGCCAGGTTAACCATTGTTGGAGCTAGGCTGCCTGGCTGAGGGACCTTGGGCATGTGACTTTGCCTCTCCAGGCCCTAGATTCCAGAAAATGGAGATAATGGAAATATCTGCTTCCTGAAGTAGATGTGAGAATTGGAAATTAATGTGTGAAAGCAGGAGACCCAACTACTCTGAGCCACTTCCTGCCTCAACAGCTTCAAAGCCATGATATTTCACACCCTTACACAAGCCCTTTCAATAACTTGGAATGTCCCCCACACACAAACACACATACTCGTATTCATCTTTCAAAACCCCAAAGCCAATGTCCCATCCTCTCGAGTTCTGCTTCTTTCTTATGAAGCCCACTCCACACACATGCCCCCAGCCTGGACCCCACAGGAATGTCCATGTCTGTCTCTGAGGCTCCTCTCTGGGCTAGATGGGGAAGCCAGGAGGGCTTGTTAAGGGAAACAGCGAGTCCATCACCACCACCCAGACTCAGGGGCAAAAAGAGAAGTGGGCACGGTTGCTGGGGTGAACTTTGCTCAAATCACCTTATCAGGCATCACGAGGGGCCACCCAGTTTCCTCTCCCCACAGATCCTCCACCAAGGAAATGGAAGGGGTGCAGGTGGAGGCATTGGTGTCTGGTAAGGGCACCAGTCCCCCAGACCTGTTTTGCGTAAACACAAAGCCTTCAGTCCTTTATTTACAAAAGTGCCTCCAGCCCCCTCCCCACCCTGCTTCTGCAGGGGAATTCAGGTTCTTCCTGAGGTCAGGTGGTACCCTCACTGAATTCCAGGCCCCCCACCTATGAAAGGGGCAGAGTCAGGTTTGGAGACTCCGAGATGGTAACAGTCCCACCTCAGGGCCTTTGCACATGCAGTGCACTCTGCCAGGGCTACCTTCTCACTCTGGCTCCATCTCCCTGGATAGGGTCTCCCCAAAAAGAGAGCCCTTTCCACCCACCCCCATCACCCCACTCATCTCTCTGGCCTAAGAACTACCTTTGTGTGTCAATGAGTTGACCCGACTATTATAAACAAAACTGCCTTTGAGACCCTGGGGTCAACTCTGCAAGCAAACCCAACATCAGCTGAAGAGGGACACCTCAAATGCCCGTTTTCAGGTGATGGTCACTGGTCTGAGTCTCCTGCAGTCTAAAGTGGCCCAAACACAGCCTGGGCATCCTCAGCATCTGACAAACCTGAAATCCAGTCCCAGGCTGTAGCAGCAGCGATACTAGCCACCTCAGGTCATGTGGCAATCTGCTGCACCTTACAAAAATGTCACCTATGAGGGCCTTGAGGGCCCAGGGCCAATCACTGCCTCCCAGGTCACTGTTTCCAAGGACAAGAAGAAACCAGCCAGCCCCTCCTGCCTTCTAGAAAGCTGCTGCCCAGAATTCCCCCAGTGGCAGGATTCCGGGCCTTGCTTCCTGAAATGCCCAGTGAGCCCCCAATGCCAGGATGCGGTGGGCACCCCTGCCAGGGGAGGAACAGGAGGGAAAATGGCCTGGGCTAATCTCAAAGACCTGGACCGGGGCAGGCAGAGAAGAGATGCCCAGACACAGGCCTTATCATCTGTGTGCACAGGACAGGGTGCCCCAGACCCCTGGGATCCGCCTCCTCCCCTCCCCGACAGCACTCTAGGTCCACAACATCCCCATGCCAGAGGGCAACCCCATTACCTGCTCTGCAGAGCCCATCCCCATCAGTCAGTCACAGACCCCTGACTGTTCTAGCTCACCCACCTCCAGCTCTCAGCTGCCAGGGCAGCTCCTCCCAAATGCCTAAGCAACAAGTTGCCAGAGATGAGGGAGGAGATGGACAGAGAGCGCTGGGGGACCGAACAGACAGACAGACAGATCTCTAGGCAGCCTGACCCTCACTCAGACCAAGCAGTCCTGATGGTCACCCTGATAGACAGATGGGGAGGTCAAGCCAGACCAGACAGATTGACAGAGGCAGCACTGGGCAGTCAGACACAACCTAATGAGAGTTAAGGGAGCCACCAGGGGTCAGACAGACAAAGGGAAGCGACATTGGAGGGTCACAGCAACAGTCAGATGGAGGGGGCTTCACAGGTCAGACAGCAGCCATGAGGCAGACAGAGGGGGGCGGACTCAGGCCATAGAACAAAGGGGGTTGGATTCAGTACATGTGGCAGAGACAGAAGGGGGACTGGGGGAGGCTCATGGGTCAGGCAAATAGAAAGGTACTAAGCAGTCAGACAGAGCGGTAAGGCTCCGGCCCTCGGGTAGACAGAAGCGGGCGAGGCTCAGGCCACTGGGGGCCCTGGGGTGGCAGTCGGATGGGGCGGGCTCGGCTGAGACTTACCGACCAGGTGCCAGGCCTTACGCGGCCCACAGCGGGCGCAGCGGCCCGCGGCGCGGTCGGCCTCGTAGCCTACGAGGGGCGTACAGAGCCCATCAGCCACTTGGCCGAGCAGCAGCAGCAGCCCGGCGCCGCGCGAGCTGTAGGCGCGCACCGAGTGCAGGTAAAGCAGCAGGTAAGTGAACCACATGGACGCGCACAGGTCGTTGAGGAAGTGACCCACCGCGTAGCTCAGGCGCGCCGCCAGGGACAGCGGCCGCGGGGGCGCCCTCTCTCCAGCCGCCGGGGGCCCGGGACCCATGGCGGCGCTCCGGGCTCGGGCCGGGCCGTCCGGTGCTTAGCAAACTGGACCCCGGCTCTGGCCGTGCGTGTCCGCACCCTCCGCCGCCACTAGCGTCCGTCCGGTCCCCCCAGACCCCGGCGCGCCTGTGGCCGCAGAGCCGCTGAACCCGAGATTACCCCGGGCGGGGCGGGGCATCCCAGGAGCAGCGGCCGCATCCACCAATCGGGGCCACGCGCCGGGGCCCGAGAGCCAGTCATCGGGAAGATAGGCGTGGCCTCTGGGTTATCCCGGCGCCCACAGAGCCTCGCGGTCCTAAGGCCCGACTATAGCTTGGGATTTGTGGGACCCCTCCGTACGGAAGTTGGGAGCTACGCAAAGGGCTCCCCCACCCAGATTCCGGTCGCCAGGCCCGCGCCACCCTAGCTTACCCGCAGCTTTACGAGGCCTAATGTGGCCCGGGGAAAACGGGGTTGGCTGGGTGTGGGTTGGGGGGAGGTCTGAGCCCCCAGCTCGCCTCTCTTTGGGGTCCGGTGACTTCCCGGCCGGGAGACACACAATCGGACGTGGAGAGGACGTATTACTTCAAATTAATTAGTTATTAAGGATAATAATGGGGATAATCATCATAATAACACAGGCTGGCATTTAATGAGCGCTAACTGTGCCAAGTGCCCCAGGTGGATTTTTTCATCCCAGCTGGGCGGGAGGCGGAGCAAGTCTCCCAATTCGCAGGCCAGAAACACGCCCAAAGAGGGAGAGGGTGCTCTGGGCGCTCTGGGCGCACAGTGCTCACCTGACACAGTGAGTCAGGTGCATGCAGTCCGTAGGCCAGTGCTCTCGACCCCTCCCCAGCCGCCTCCAACGGCCTTCCCACGACTGGGTCACCACACTAGCGGTTTCAAGTTCCTCCAAACGTTGGTTGCAGTTTCTCTTGCCCCCACCCCAGCCTCCAGGCCTTCTCCAGCAGTGGTTTTAAACCTGCATGGTCAAAATCATGGCGTCCAGACCAGCCAACCCCTCTAGCTGTTCCAGCTGGGACAACTCCCTTAAATTCGTGGCGCTTCAGTCTCCCCAGCTCTAGAATGGCTATAATGTATGTTAAAAGTGATGGAAGTGTTAGCTCTTAATAGTCTCAGCTGGAAAGCCTTCTCAGCAAGCCCTGGTTCCCTGTCAGTGATTACTCTGGGTTCCCACAGTGTGCTGGGCTGACCCCATCACAACCCTGATATTTGCTCCCCATCCCCAGCTGTAACCATCTGTATGTCCCCACTGGACTATGATCCCCATGGAGGCAGGGACCAGATTAGTCTTAGTCACTGCATTGTCCCCAGCAATGCCTGGCACATAGTAGGAGCTCAAGAAATATCTGGCGATAACAGAATGGTGGTTACCAGAGGGGAAGTGGGGTGGGAAGATGAAGAGTGTAAAAGGGGCCAAATACATGGTGACTGAAGGAAACTAGACTTTGGATGGTGAACACATAGATGTTGCATTATAAAGTTGTACAGCTGATATTTATATAATGTTACTAACCGATGTTACCCCCCAATAAATTTAATTAAAATAAAAAATAAATATCTGTTAAATAATTGAATGGTGGACATGCAGGCAGAGAATCAGAAATGCATATAGAAACTGGGAAACAGATAGGAACTCACTTATAAACTTGAGGTTCAGGCAGCCCAAAGGGTGTCCAGCCCAGCCCCCACACTAATGTAGGCCACCACCACAACACATGCTCTTTTATCAAAAGGAGCCTAAAAAACAGGTGTGGGTGGGGTCATGGGTGCTCAGGAGAGAGAACCTAGCAGGGAAGAGGAGAGAGAAGGATAGACTGCTTTGGAGGAGATAAAGGGATAAGGAAAGATAAGAACCTCAATTCTTTCCTTCCTGTAGGCCAAGCTCTCTTTAGATTTCTCCAAGAGAAATTAAAGACTTTTAAAAATACTAGCTTAAACGTTTTATTTCCATTCCTTGCCTCCTTTCTTCCCATGACACCCTAGGAGATTTTACACCACTTTATGTCCATTTTCCCGATGAGAAAACTGAGATTCAGACTGACATCCCTTGCTGAGCAGCATGTGACCTCCAATATCTTTGAGTTCTTTATTCCCTGACAGGAGAGGGTCCACCTGAATAGGACAAGGTAGCTCACTGTTTACTGTTCTATCAGCTTCCTGTGAGGAGGCAGGAACCCAGCGGGTTATTCTGCAGACCCAGCACAGGCAGGAGGGGGAAGCCCCAACACATCTCTGGGCTCCAACAGGATCCGGCTATTTCCTGGCCCTGATTATGGGAAAGGCAGGAACAAGCCAGGGAGCTGCCCCTGAGTCGTGTCATTCATGAACTCATTCATTCAGTGGATGGATCTGGGCTCATGCTGGGCAATGCTGGAGCCCGGAAGATTTGAAGCCCCTAGTCTGAGGGGGGAGGACAGAGCTGGACCCTCCAAGCCCCCATGGTCAGGTCTGTGGCTGAAGAAATGAGACTCAGAGGGTGACTGAATGACAGATAAGGTATCAGGACCCCCAGGTCAATGAGGAGTTAAGGTAGGATTCAGAGAAAGGGTGAGAGGGTCAGATAAAAAGTCCTATGGGGGACAGTCTGATCGGGACCCCCTCTTGTTTTGAGAGCTGTAACTTTCTGCTCTAATAAAACTATCCTCTGCTGCAAACTTTACCTCTCTGGTCCGTGTCGCCACTATTCGGTGCTGCGAGACCACGATCCCAGTGCGCATGAAAGCACACATCAAATAAATCCTGCAATTACAGCACCAATAAGTGCCAGCTAGCTCTTCTCCCCAGATATACAAGAGCCTTTTGCTTTAGAGGGGCAACCCAACTTTGGGGTCCCCATCTCCCTTGGAGAGCTGTAACTCTTTGCATTAATAAACTGCCCTTTTCTCTGCAAACTTTGCCTCTCTGGTCCATGACTACATTCTTCAGTTCCACGAGACCACAATCCCGGGGTACACACCGAAAAAAAAAGGTCTTATGAGTGTGGGGTGGGGGTGCAGCAGTTTATTCCAACGCAGGCCTCAGCTGCAAGTTGTCAACCAGTGGAGGGCATATGTGCCCTGAATAAAAAGGGGTTGGAGGGGAGGCCCAGTGGCTAAGTTGGTTAACAGCGTGAGCTCTGAGCAACAGGGTCACCGGTTCGATTCCCACATGGGCCAGTGAACTGCCCCTGAGCTGAGCTGCCAACAGGTGGGAGGATGGCTCAGCTGGTGAGATCATGTGCTCCTAACAACAAGGTTGCTGGTTCGACTCCCGCATGAGATGGGGGCTACGCCTACCCGCAACTAAGATTAGACAGGGCACCACCTTGAGCTGAGCTGCCCTGAGCTGCTGACTAGCTGCCGACGAGCTGCCACCGGACAGCCGGATGGCTACTGGACTTGGAGCTGAGCTAGCTGCGCCCTCCACAACTAAGATTGAAGGACAGCAACTTGGCTGTTCCTCTTCCCCAATTCCCCAACACTGTTCCCCTTCCCAAATTCCCCAGTAAAATCTTAAAATAAAAAAGAAAGAAAGAAAAGAAGCGGTCAGATTTGGGAACAGGACAAACTGATAGACAGACAGGCTTGGGGTAAGGAGAGATCTGGACAGCCTTGGATATCCCCAGAGCAGCGTCCCCAGCTGCCTGCTGACACCAGACCTGCGTCCCCCGTTCCCTGACCAGAGATCGGATGTCCTGGTGGCCTAGGATCTGGGGGAGGGATGTGGGAAAGGAAGGCGAGTGGGGGTGTTTCCTTTCATTTTCTCTCTGACCCAGGCCCAGGATGACCAGGTGGAGAGTGTGGGGGAGGAAAGGGGAGAGATGGTTTCCAGGCTCAGCACAAAGGTCCTTAGATCACAAGGTGGCTTGAGTGGGGGGCACGTGGCACCAAATTGTTCTTTGTGGTGGGCAGCTGTCCTGTGCATTGCAACATCCCTGGCCTCCACCCACTTGATGCCCAGAGCATCCCTCCCACCCAGTCATGATAACCAAAAAAAACATCTCTAGACGTCACCCAGTGTCCCCAGAAGACTGGCCCCTGGGTGGAACTCCAGCACTAGAAAATTATTCGCAACAGGGGTTTCATTCTTGGTGGACAAGAGTAGTATTAGCTACTCTTATGTAGCACAGACTGGCTAGGCCTGGTTCTAAGTGCCAAGCATGAATTAAGCTCAGTAAATCCTTTCAACAACCTCATGAAGGTAGTTACTATCCCACTTCACAGAGGGGTAAACTGAGACACAGAGTTTTGGTGAGTTGCTCAAGTCACGCAGCTGGGGTCCAGTGCCACTTCCCTGAGCATCTGAGTGTCCAGCAGCAGGGGTGCCCTTCCTCAGAAGCCTGAGACCTTTGTCCCCATACCCCTTCATTCTAGCAGTTGCTACCCCTGTGCTTCCCTTTTGCATTCTCAGCCTTTCAGCACTGGTTAAAGTGATCCCCAGTATTAAATTCGCTCTGTAAAAAAGAGTCAGGATGGCTGGGATATCCTGGCACCCACACTCTGATTTTTCCTGGGGGGTAGAGAAGAAACAGTTGAACCACCCCATGTTGGCAAATAAGCATTAAAAAATTTAAATGGGAAGAGCCACAACTCATTAATTTCATGACTTCTTACCTACCCTGGGAAAGCAGTCCACGGGCCTCAGACAGCGGGTCTGGGATGTTCCTAGCCTGGGGCTGTGACACTGGGAAGGATCCTAGGGAGCATCAGCCAGGACTTGCTAAACAGGCGGTGGTCCAGTCCCACTGTGGAGTGTTACCCAGCATCAGAGAGACTGAGGTACTGCTGTACGCCTAACATAAAGGCACTAGGAGAAATGTTACCGCATGAAAGGAGCAGATTGCAGGTTGATGTTTACAGCAAAAGGGCAGTGTGAAAGCAAGATCATAAAAGCAAGATCTGACTTCATATTTCTTATAGGAATACAAACACACATATTTAAGTTATGTGTGTATGCATATGATCTTCTTTGCATTGTTTCCCCCAAAAAAATTAATAGGAGAAAGCCTGAGCCCCAGGATCTCAGAATATGACCTTATTTGGAAACAGTGTGGTTGCAGATGTAATTAGTTGAGTCACTCTGAAGTAGGCTGGGCTCCAGCACAATATGACTGGTGTCCTTAAACAAAGGGGAAATTTGGACACAGACTCACACGCACAAGGAG